GCTAGTGGGTTTGAACCTTTGCATTTGCAAGTGCAGTTTCTTACCACTAGGCCACCAGACCTACATTAGAACCTAACTAAATAAGTTAATAAGAACATTGTCAAAATAGGAGACCTGGATAGTACTTCGTGGGAAGCAAAAGTAATCTTAACATAGATAAACAAAGATTGCACAAGTTTACAGTGGTTATGATGAAGCCTAGAAAGAAATGTTACAACTACTGATAGGCTTGCGATGTTAAGTAACATTTCAGGCATTCATTGAAAAAGAATCTACAAATACAGTGGGAATGGGGGTAAAATCTAAACTACCGAAGGGGTATATAACATTAAATCATTTGTGGGATATATCCTTTATAAAATTAATTGTAAATGTTCATGACTTTACACAATTCAAATATTATGACAATAAACAACATTTTTTTATTTTACTTTATTATTTTTTGCACATGTACCGTCAAATCAGATCTGACTGGTACAGGAGGAGATTGCTCCTCCTTTTCCAGCAGAGCATCTGGTGGATTTGAACCACATACCTCTGGGGTTGCAGTGCCGTTTCTTGCCAGTAGGCCACCAGAGCTTCCTTAATAAACAACATTTTAACTGCATCGAAGAGATTGGAGAAAGCCCTTGGGCAGCCAAAAATTCAGAAATGCAAGCCACCCAGAATTCCCAGAGGGAAAAAAAAGTGGTATTTTCTCTCATTAAGATTTATAGCTTCCTGTTTAAAAGGTATATATAATAAGGTATTATTGTCATGACATGAGTCCAGAAGGAAGGCTGCATAGTGGAGCGGACTTGGGGGGGAGGGATTTTATAACAATGAAAGAATTTTTCTTTTACCTTTACTTTTACTTTTTTTTTACTTTTTCTTTTACTTTTCAAGGAGGGGCAGGCAGGGAGAAAAGTGCAACAATGAATGAATGGAAATCCAAAATCTCTGTAAACTTTCATTAAAAATAATGATAATAATAAAAAAAGAAAAAAAGATTTATAGCTTCAGAAACCAAATGGAGAGTTGTCATGAAACCAGATGGAGGGCTGTCGGGAGTGGGGATGGGATCAAGGGGAGTAGAGTTGGTTTGGGGTTTTAAGAGACCTGAGCAATAGCAGCATATAGTAAAAATGTCTAAGATAATTTAATGGAAAAAAAAATACTGTATTTGGCATAAAATAATTCTGACACTTAATTACAATTCAGCCATTAATATAATTAGACTTAAGTCCTTTATAAATAATAATTATTTGAAATGTGTGCTCTTTAACTTAGAACTTGAGCGTTCTGGTGGCATAGTCTGCAGACAGTTATGCTTCTAACCCAAAGGCTGTGCTTCTTTGGTGAGTCACAGGAGAGAGCTGAGCAATCGCCTCCCTTGCAATTTACAGCTTCAGAAACCTGGTGGAGGGTCAGCTATGACTCAGAACCAGTTCAAAGGCAAGAGTTCTAATGTATGACTACAGTACTATAAATCTTTTCAATGCTTTCAAATACTACATATAATCACAATGTTAAGGTCGCTGCATCTTAACATTTAATCCGTAGAGGTCTTGCACTTAAATGCACTAACATCTGAAAAGAGTCTCTGAGTGGTAGACACAGTTAAGTTCTAGGCTCTTACCAAAAGCTGGCTGTTCATGTCCACCCAGAGGCCCCTCAGAAGAAAGGCCTGGCAATCTATTTCCAAAAAATTAGTCACTAAGATCCTATATGACATACAAAAGATCATCATGAGTCAGGGTTGACTTGATGGCAGCTAACAACAACAACATCTGAAAGGACGGATGAAGCAAAGAAGTATCACAGAAAGATAGAAATTCTTTTTCTAAATAGAATAGAATCTCTTTAGAGAAACATTAACTTTTAATGAAGTTAATATTCAAAGCAATCAGTCAACTTTACTACTGAATATCTATTATTAAACACAGAAATTATATATATATATAAAATTGTTAAAAATCTAAACTCATGTTCTAAAATGTTATTTTTAGCAGTTAGAAAAAATTGGATATTGTGTCTTATGTACTTCTAATGCATCTTTAGAGAATTTTGCCTCTTCTAGCACAAAATTTTCTTGTAAATCCAATATTCAGTGCATGAAATGTTTAATAAAATTCTTTCATCTGATAGGAAGAAGAAACAGAAACTCAACTGCTTTTTTAGCTTCACAGAAGAGGTGGTTGCTTGCTACAGCAAATATCTGAAACTAAAGAACTATCAACAAATCAATCGTACTTCCAGAGTGAAAACACACCACCTCCTAAGTAGCCAATAACAAAAGATCACCCAGGAATAAATCACCAGGAAAGACTAGAAGATAAATAATGGAAAAGATGATATAAAATAATAATTGTATAAGAGAGATATGAATTGGAGACACATCAAATATAAACAGGACAAAAATTAGTGATAATTTATATTGTTACTGTGTGCTGCTGACTCGGAATTAAGCCACCATAGCTGATTCTCCAATGGATTTCTAGAGGCAGTGAACTGCATGGGAGTAGTGTGTCTATCTTTCTCCCATAGAGCAACTAGTTGATTTGAACTGAATGATTAGTTATAGTATGGGTTTTTTTAACATTATCTAGAAGCTAGGGGGAAAAAATACTGAAGGTCTACCTAGTTTATTATATTATGTAGAGACTGTTCACAGCTTCAGTTTGCTCGGCTCCACAGTCAAGACTCTTGGCACCAGCAGTCAGGAAATCAAAAAGCGTATCGTGATGGGAAAGTCTGCTGTTAGGGACCTCTCTAAAGTACTCAGGAGCAACGGTGTCTCTCTGGAGACTAAGGTGCGCCTGATACAGGCCATGGTATTTGCAATCGCTTGTTATGCATCAGAGAGTTGGACAATGACTAGGGAGGACAGAAGGAGAGTGGATGCCTTTGAGCTGTGGTGCTGGAGAAGAGTACTGAATGTACCATGGACTGCCAGGAAAACAAAAAGATTCATCTTGGAGAGGATTAAACCAAGCAACTCCTTGGAGGCAAGGATTTTGGGGCTTCGTCTGACATACTTTGGACATGTTGCCAGGAGGGACGGGTCCTTGGAGAGGGACATCATGCTTGGGAGGGTGGAGGCACGGCGCAGGACGGGAAGACCCTCTATGAGATGGACTGAATTGGTGACTGGGATTATCGGGATGGGTTTGTCAGAGGCAGTGCGGTTGGCACAGGATAGAGCAGGGTTTAGGGCTGTTGTGCATAGGGTCGCTATGAGTCGCAAACGACTCGACGGCACATAACAACAACAACAACAACCATTACTGCTTGGAAGCAGGAGTGGCATTCACTTTCAAAATAGCTTGCCTCTGGAAACCCTATGAACTTGGAGAAATGATGAAAGTTATACAAGTGTTCAGTTCTTTCGTTCATAGGGTCGCTATGAGTTGCCTACGACTCGACAGCACTTAACAACTACCACCACCATTACTGAGATTGCCCCTAAAAATCATGAATTTGTCATTAATGTTTCATATTGAGTATTTTTATAAAAACAAGAAAAACAATATATTAGTTTATTTTTAACTTTCCAAAACATGAACAGATGATCAACTAACATTCAGAATCTGAATAAGTGGAATAAAATACTTTTTAGGTACCCATGTAAAATGTACCAAGATTAGTCTCTTAATTTTCTCAAATCAAAAGATTATCTGATGTATTCTTATTTAAAAATTATAAATGGAATTCATTCTGCAAGGTAACAAAAGTATCCCATGAAACATTTCTTGTATTAAAAATAGACTTGCACTGATTTAATACTCATTCCTACAAAGTCTTTTTAACTGCCAGTAACATACATCTGGAGGAAGCCTGAACAAAGGACAAAATAGTCTTGACTAAAAAATAGATATAAGCTATGATTTTCAAATCAGTATGCTGATGCAGCCAACCATTCATTGTTGCTGCTGTTAGGTGCTGTCGAGTATGACCCATAGTGACCCTATAAACAAAAGATCTGAACCCTGTTTTGTCCTGCACCATCCTCACACTTCCTGACACACAAGAGCCCATTGCAGCAGTCACTATGTCAATCCACCTGATTGAGGGTCTTCCTCTCTTTCACCTACCCTCCACCCTTCCCAACATCAGGTTCCTCTCCAAGGAACAGCACCTCCTAGCAACATGTCCAAAGTATATGAGGTTAAGGAAGCCTTATCATTCTTGCCTCCAAAGAGCACTCTAGCTGCACCCTCTCCAAGACATATCTGTTCATTCTCCTGGCCGTTCATGGGATGTTCAGTACTCTTTTCCAACACCACAGTTCAAAGGCATCAATTCTTTTTCTGTCATCCTTATTCACTGTTCAGGTCTCAGATGCATAACTAGTAATCAGAACGACTATGGCCTGAATCAGATGCACCTTAGTCCTCAAACTGACATCACTACTCCTCAATAATTTATTAATTTATAGTTTATAGAATAATGAAGGCAAATCAATTCTAGGATGTTCACAAATATCACACATAATCTGAAATCTGATAAAAAGTCACACTATATACATGTGGCAATTACTTAGGAAAAAAGGTTTAAAGTGTATTTGCTATTGGAATATTAATAAAGAAATCAGATACTTAATTAGCACTCAGGAATACTAAAAGATACTTAAGCAACATTAAATATGATGACTATATGATTAAAAAATGTTTTGTTAAATGTATGTAATTTTACATCTTCCTAGAAAGTATTTCTTACTGTCAACTAATGGTATTGTGAACTAGCTCTTAAGAAGGTCTTACTGTTGATTTGAGGGGGCTTTATGACATAAACAAAAGCTCAGTGGTTCAAAGCCACAGGTTGCTCCAAGGAAAAAGATGAGCAGTCTCTTCCAATAGAGATTCACAGCCTTGGAATCCACTATGAATCAGACTTGTCTTAATGGCAGTGGGTTTTATTGTTCACTTGAAGTTTCAAGTAATGTATTTGACAATCTTTAACTAATTGAATTTAATTACTACAAAATTTGCCCATGTAAATATCATTACTGAAAAGAATACCTGTTCTTCTGCTCTTGCTGCAGTAAGTGAACGGCTATTTTTCTCAAATCAGTTACTTCCTTCAAATCATCTTCCTCTTCCTCTGCAAGTAATTGTTCTTTCTGAGGTCTGAAAAGTGACATAAACATGATTATTTTTAAAAAACCAAGGCACATTAAATTTTATGCCATTAATTTCTCCCTATTGTTCCTTCATTATAGTACATAATCTAGTTTTGGCTCTATGCATTTGCCTGTTCTCGGCATTTCACAGAAAGGGATTATACAATGTGCCAGTTTATGTCTTTTATGTCTCATTTATATCACTTACTTAATATTGTCAGTGTACTAAAACTTGATTTTTTTATTCTACCACACACATAATATTCCATTGTATGTATATACCCCCATTTATTTATTCATCTGTTGATTATCATTTATGTTGCCATTTTTTAGCAGCTGTGAACGAATGTATAGCTATGGCCATTAGTGTACAAGGTTGGGTTGTGTTTTTTTTTTAAGTCTTTGCTTTGAATTCTTTGGGGATATATACTCAGGTGTATAATTATTAGTCATAAGGTAAATACGTGTAACTTTTAAAAAAAATTTTATTTTATTATTTTTGTGTGAGTGTACCATCAAATCAGACCTGACTGGTACAGGAGGAGACTGCCCCTCCTTCCCCAGCAGAGCATCTGGTGGGTTCGAACCGTGCGCCTCTGGGATTGTAGTTGCAGCTCCTTGCCACTAGGCCACCAGAGCTCCCCTATGTTTAACTTTCTAAGGACCATCCAAACTATTTTTCCCAATAGCAGTACCATTTTATGTTCCACCTGAAAAAGATGATGACCTCAATTTGTAAAAAAAAAATATTGGTACAGTTAATATATCTGACTGCTAAGGGAAGCCTGGAGATTGGAGTTTACACACGCCTTGGAAGAAAGATCTAGCAATCTACCTCTAAAAATTAGACACTGAAAATCAGTGGAGCACTACTCTCTTTCTTCCGGCACAAATGAAGGTGCCATGTAACAACAGACCCTACAGAAAACGCATTAGTTGATTTATATTTGTCCTTATGGAGCTGTGCTGCTAATTCAAAGGCTGTGCATCTTTAGTGGTTCAAATACACCATCAGCTTTATAGGAGAAATATGGGAAATCGCCTCTCTGTGATTTCCGGTATTCAAACACCAGGTGGAGGATCGGATATGAGAGAGTTCCAACTTCACAGCATTAAGTTTGAGTTTTGCGTTTCAATGATCAATGTAGCCCTGGTGGCATAGTGCATAATGTGTCAGGTTGCTAAACTTATGGTTAGAAGTTTGAATCCACTCGGTGTCCCTTGAGAGGAAGATGCATGTATAAGTTTCCTCCCAGTAAAATTACATCCACAGAAATATGATCAATGGTCAGGGCAGGGTCACTATGAGTCAGAATTGATTGGACTGCTGTAGGTTTAATGACTAACAATAAACATTAATCATCCTTTATGTGCTTATTGTCCATTTGTAGATTTTTTAATAGAGATATGTTTATTCAAATCATTTGTCTAATTGAGTGGGTTGTCTTTTTCTTACTGATTTGTAGGAACTGATTCTATATTCTGGATATTGAAACCTTATACATGGTTCCAAAATATTTTCCCCATTCTGTAAGTTGTCATTGTACTTTCTTAATAAAATCCCTGGAGACAATATAGGTTTTTAATTGTGATGAAGCTGAATATACCAATTTTTTATCTTTGTGGTGGTGCTTTTAGTATTATATGTAAGAATTCATTGTCAGAAACAAAGTCCTAAACTTTACTCCTATGTTTTTACCAAGAGTTGTATAGTTTTAGTTCATCTACTTAGGTATTGATCAATTTTGAGTGACTTATCACACGTAGTGTGAGATATAGATCTAACTTTACTTCTTCGGCATGCTGAAATCCAGTTGTCCCAGCACCATTTGTTGAAGAAACAATCTTTCATTCAAATTTTCTAGACTCTAAATTCTACTTTATTGATCAATATGTATAACCATAAGAGTTATGAAAATGAGACTCAAATATGTCATGACAATGACAGCAGACTGGGCAAAATTTTGTTCTATTATACATGAGGCTACCATAAGTTGCAGCCAACTCAACAGCAATATCAACATATGTTTATCTGTACCATAATGTTTTAATTATCATAGCCTTATGTTTTTAAAATGGGCAAGTGTGACATCTAATTTCTTCTACTTTATCAAGATTGTTTTGACCACTTGAGCCTCCTTTCAGGTTCTTATGAATTTAGGGATTGGTTTTACCAATTCCACAAAAAGAAAATATTGTTAGAAGTTTGTTCAGAACTGTGTAGAAAACAGATTATTTTGGGTAGCAATGATGTAAGGCTTCAGGCCTTTTGTTCATAGGGTGGCTATGAGTCATGCTCGATTCGAAGGCAATCAACAATGACAACAATGATGTCTTAACAGCATTAAATATTCTAATCCAGGAATATTTTCTGTCTTCTCATTTATTAAGATTATTAGCTTCTTGGAGTATATTTTATAGTTTTCAGTATATAAAGCTTTCACCTTCCTAGGTATTTCATTATTAGATACTGTTAGAAATGGAATTTCTTTTCATGCTGTTCCTAGTTGGTATATAAACACAACTGGTTTTTTGTACTTTTTAAAAATTTCTTTTACTTTTTTCATTGTTGAGAATATACACAGAACATATGCCAGTTCAACAACTTCAGCAAGTACTGCTGAGTGCAGCAATACTAATTATGTTCTTTGAGTTGTATGACTATGCTCATCCATCTTTTCTGATTAGATCCTCCTTCACTAAAAAAAATTCTGCCACCTAAGTTTCCTATCTATCAATGGCAGTTGTCAATTTGATCCCATATAGGTAAATCTTAAAAAAGCACAACAGTCAAGGGAGATATTCTCATCTAGTTAAGCTACTGTGTGGTTTTACAAAAACTTCAAGGAACATTTTCATTTAAGGCTTAAAGATTATCTTGGGGCAATAGTTTCAGGGGTTTATCTAGCCTCTATGGCTATAGACACTACAGATACCATAAAAATTTCAGATTAAGTTCTGCATTTTCTCTCCATTAAGATTCTTCTACAGAATCTTTGATCAAAATGTTCAGTAATGGTAACTAGGCATAGCCCACTTCTTCTAGTTTCATGGCAAAAGGGGTTGTTCATGCAAGAATTGGGCACATTCTTAACTCTCCTTCTACGGCTTAGGTCAACAGAAACAGCCTGTTGTGCCTTGTTTGGCCACCTGAAAGTGCTATACGAGGAAGTAGGAGGTAGAATAGAAGCACTAAAAGAAAATTAGGTCCATTAAACGAGATTTTCAATAAAACAATACCCTAAACCTCTAAACCAAGGAATTAAATCCCGTAAACTGTGGTACCCTAGTGATAAGAAACTGCACTGTAATCCAAAGTCACTCGGTTCGAATCTACCAGCTGCTCCGTGGGAGAGGAATGGGCAATCTCCTCCCATGCGATTAACTGCCTCTGAAAGCCCTGCTGGATAGTCAGCTATTGGTTGATTCAGACTAGATGGTACACAACAATAACATAGAGTTTAGTGATAAGTAACCTCAACAGCATCTTTTTATTTAGTCACTGTGGCTAATTTATTTAGAAAGAAACAAAACTTTTCATTGATATTGATACCCTGTGACTTGTTTTTGTGGCTTTTTAATAGTTCTAAGAGCTTGTGGAGTTTTGGGGATCATCTTTCATGTTATCTGCAAATATACCTTGATGTCCTTTCATATATAGTTGCTGGCTTTGGTCACTGGTTTTTTGGTTTTACTAATTGCTCTGGCTAGAATTTCCAGTAGAATGCTCAGCAATGTGAATACAGGCATCTTTGTATTGGGGGGAAAGACTGGATCATTCACCATGGCGTATGACATTAGCTGTGGGTCTGGTTTTATAAATCTATAAACCCCATTTGTTATAGTCAAGAATTCCCCTTCTAGTTTATAGAGTGTATTTATCATGAAAGAGTGTTAAGATAAAGATAAATGTCTTTATGTATCAAATCTGTGACCACTGGACTCTTTTTCCATCATTTTATTAATTATATTGACTTTCTTAGGTTGAATTACCCTTGTGTTCTTGTGTCTCACTTGATCATTGTGTATCATAATCCTTTCAGTAAGCTCGTAGAGTCAGCTTTCTAAGATATTTCTTAGAAATTCTGCATCTATAAGTCATATACTAGTATGTAAGGGGGGTTTTGTAGGGCTTTTATTTTTTTGTACTGGAATAATACTGGACATAAAGAATGAGGTCAGAAATGCTTTTTTCCTCTTGTATTTTTCAGAAGAATTAAATGATTAGTGTTAATTCTTATTTGTTTTGTAGAATTCATCAACAAAGCCATATTTTCCTGAATTGTATTTTGTTGGGAGGCTTATTATTAATTAATTAATTAATTAGTTAAATTTCTTCATTTGTGATTCATCTGTTCAGACACCCTATTTCTTCCTGAGTTGATCAGCTATTTGTGTTTCTAAGAATTTTCCATTTCATCTATTTTATCCAACTTTTTGGTGTAGAACCGGTCGGAACAGTCTTTTTTTTTAAATTTTTTTCCCTATAATTATATTTTATTAATTTTCATAAACATTTACAGAGATTTTGGGTTTCCACTCATTCATTGTTGCACTATTCTCTCTACCCTCCTCCCAGTTTGTTCTTGTCCAAATGCCACAGTGCTTGTCAAAGCCAGTTCTGATTAATCTTCTTTGTCAGTGTGTCCTTTGCCATTCCCTATCACTCCTCCCTGAGAGAGACTTCACCCTGAGTCATAAGGAAAAGGGGATGGCGTATTCTCTTAGCTACTTCCTGCTGAAAAGGGACGCTGTGGGTTTCAGGGTGAAGATCTTCTCTCACTACTCTAAAGGGCCCCCTTGGCAGTAGGAAACACATAGACTATTATGGAGATTGATTTTGGAATTTAGATGCACTCTTATTGATTGTGCTTGGCCGTACATGTTCATATCCTTGAAGATGTATCATGGGGGTGTTGCAACCTAGAAGACACAAATTTGACTAACAAGTTATAAGTACATGAGTTAAAAATTATGGAAAAGTAAAAGAAAAGATTCTTTCATTGTTTTACAAACCCTCCCCCAGGTCCCCTCCACCATGTAGCCCTCACTCTAGACTCCTGTGATGACAGAAATACCTAGTTATATATCTCTTTTAAACAGTTTTCTCCCTCCTCTGTTTCAGTGCAGTATACATTATTGAACCCATCTTACTCAGTCTCTCCCCAACCCCAAGGACAGTCCCACTCTACAACAGTCTTTTAATCCCTTCTCTTTATGTAAAGTCAACAGTAATGTACTCATTTTAATTCTTTTCTTTTTCTTTGTCAGTCTTGCTCAAAGTTTGTCAATTTTTTGTTGATCCTCAAAGAAGAAACTTTGGTTTTGTGGATTCTACTGTTTTTCATAATTGTCTATTATTAAAACACATGTCTAGCCTCTCTATTCAATATGAAATGTAGCATACTGGCAATATTAATAAAGCTATGAGTTAAAGTAAAGCAAATTTCCATGTGTAATGGTAATGTGTAGTGGTCAGAGTAATTTAACAATATTTATCCCTCACTCCTCAGTGCAATAACCATTTTGGAGTAATATGTCATTTCTCTATAAATAAAAATGTCATGTAAAGGTCTTACTTTATTGGCTCATCTTTATTTAATTCATTTTTATTTAAAAATTAACTATGTAAAATATTTAAGTAAATTAAACTGGTCCAAATAAGATTGCTAAATTTATAAGGGGGGGGGGGCGAACGACCCAAACCCCTACTATGTATCATTTTTATCATTCAAAGAGAACAAAAACTGTTCAGTATAATAAATTACTCTCCAGACTCCGTTATTTTACCCCTAAGACATTTCCTTTCAAATAAATAACCAGAATGTGGATGATAGAAGAAGAGTTGATGCCTTTGAGGTGTGGTGCTGGCAAAGTATATTGAATATATCATGGAGACTGCTAGGAGAACAAACAGGTGAAGCCAGGCTGCTCCTTGGAGGCAAGGATTCTGGGATTTCGTCTGACATACTTTGGACATGTTGCAAGGAGGGACCTGTCCTTGGAGAGGGACGTCATGCTTGGGAGGGCGGAGGGACAACACCGGAGAGGAAGACCCTCTATGAGGTGGACTGATTCAGTGACTGGGATAAATCGGGATGAGATTGGCACAGGACAGAGCAGAGTTTAGGGCTGTTGTACATAGGGTCGCTATGAGTCACAGGCAACTTGATGGCACATAACAAAAACAACATTACACTAAGATATTCTATCTATACTAAATCTTGCATACCACTTTTGGCTCTTAAATCCTAGCCACTGTCCTTATGAAATAAGGAGGTGAGAAAATAATTAGAAAATAAAAAAATAGTAAGACCGTCTTGTGGGGTACTAGAGATGATGAATGAATGACAATTTAAAAAAATTAGCAAGGAATTAATTTGGAGGAAACATAAAACCAACAGTAGTTGTCAGCAAGTACATCCCAACTCATTGTGTCAAGAAAAGAGAAAAGCTTGGGGGATCAGAGAGAGCGCAAGCTATGTACTTTAGAATTTTCAAACTCTCAAAGTGCAAAAACAGAGACAGTGTCTTCCATACAAGATTTTAAATGAGAAGCACAGAAAAGCACTTGGCACAGACCTTAGTATATGGTGAATACTCAACAAATATTCTTTTGTTTTCATGTAACTACGGGGCAACATGAAGGAGTTACCTATGAGATACTTCAATATTTCCCAAGTTGAATAATACATAAAAGACCCAAAGCACAATAATTTTTTAAAAAACTATAAACTTAAATACCCTAAAAATTGTCAGAATAAATCCGGCAGAACGAAAGTGGATACCAAGGGTTGGAAGCCCTGAATTACAGACATTTGAAACTCTAGGTGTCAGTTTCTTTATTGGCAAAAAAATAATCTTTTCATAAAAAGTTTAAATAAAACAAGTTTTCCTCAATACCTATGTAACTAGGAGATATTATCATTGCTTTTCAAGGGAATAGGGAATAATATATATAATAAACACGTGAAATGCTTACTGCAGTTTTCAATTTCATTAAGGAATTCAGATAAAGACTTAACACATTGACTCCAGAAAAAATGAACAAAAGTTTATATTGTTTCAAATATTTATTCAAGTAGCCCTATGTCTTAAATATGTCAAGTATATCTAAGTCACATTTTAAATAGAGAATTCTTAGGTGCTTACCTTTTATCATCTCCCAGCTCTCCATGTTTCTGAGATTTTTCTGGACATTTTTCTTTTCCCTTAAAAAAAGAAAAACATTTTCATTTAAAATTGCACGGCTGACTGTTGTGAGATCAGGGAGAATTATTAATGTTTGTTCAAATTTTTTCCCTCTTTTTTACCTTAAGAAAAGATACAAATGATCCAATATGTACATCTCCTTGCTCAGGAACTGCTACATCTTCGGTGTTAGGGTCAATAAAATCATACACCTCCTGGTCTAGGTACAGATTAATATTTATTAGAAAATAAGTATAGTAATCTATATGTGCTTAGTATAAATGTGTGTTCATTCTTATACAAGCAGGCTAAATATGCAAGATGTATGGCCATTGTTTAAGGCTCATTTTTAATTTTAAGAATGCATTTCAAATGAGGACTTTGCACCTGAATAAAAAAAACAGAAGACACCATATGAAATACCTTTCTGAGAATCAGGTTTACTTCCTATTGAATGACTGTCATTTCTTGGCGGCTGTTCTCTATTTGATTCTGAGACTTGAGAGTGAAGGCTAATTGTATCATCATCTGATGGCTGAAAGGAATATGCAGGAGGTACAAACAAGGCATTTTAAATATTTGGTTAGGATTAAGTTGCTTAACTTTAACATATGAAATACAAAATATTTCATATTGCTCCAGTGCATCTTCAATTTTGAAACTAAAAATTAAAACACTCTTTTCTGTTTGAAATCGTTGACATAAAATATACTGATGCTATTTTTTGTTTGATTTTATTTTAATTTTGGTGAAAAAATACAAATTATAATTTTAAATGAAATGAAAACTAATATATATGTGCATGTGTCTAACACTTTATTTCAAAACCCTAATAAAAAAAATTAAAGGATTAGCAATAGAAAAGACTCACTTCTGTTGTAGATAATCGTTTTTCTCCATTATCACTTCCAATTCCAGAATCAGGACCATGATTTTTATTTGGATAAAAATCTTCCATACTACAGACATAAAAAATTGAAAGGCAGTTAAGGTTTTTTTCTGAAAGTGATAATATCCACCTGACCCAAAATTGCTCTAGATAATAATAATAATATACATTTTGCATGCATAACTTCCTTAAGGAACAACAACAACAAAAAACCCACAAAAAATCCCAAAACACAAATAAAGACACAAATTTTATTATATTCTGATTCCCAGCAGTGCTGTGTACTATAGACAAGTGAACTCTAGACTCCATGGTATTTTCTTAGGTATAATCATTATAGAATTGCACAGTATGATCTTTCTTCCACAGTACCACTTGGTGATTTTGAACCACTAACCTGGTGCAAACTTTTGATGGTTTTTATAATTACAATCTATAAGGACACCAAGGTGGCTATAATATGAAGCACTTTCTTCCTGTTTCTCTTACAATAATTTTTCTACCATGTGCTTTACTGGAAAGTGTGACTTTGTTAGGAAAGCAGACTGGCTGCTAGAAAATCAGCTTGATAGAAAACATTTCTATGTGTTTCATTGATTTGGGAAGTTTCATCACAGAAATTTGGAATATTTTCGCCTTTAATTGATATATTTTTTTTATAAAACCCTGAAAAACCTTCTGAGTTCTAGAAAGAATTCCAATTGAATGTTGTTGTTGTTGTTATGTGCCGTCGAGTTGCTTGTGACTCATAGCGAACCTATGTACAACAGCCCTAAACTTTGCTCTGTCCTGTGCCAATCTCACTGCCTCTGACACATCCATCCCGATTACCCCAGTCACTGAATCAATCAATAAGTAAGAAATTTTTTTACAAGTATGTCAAACATTGAATATACAATTATTTGGATGTGAGCACAGAGCTACCCTAGCAAATTTTTGTATTATACAATACGTCACTGGTATGTGTTTTTCATTTTCATTTACAAATTTACCATGTATTAACTAATTTACCATGTATTAACTACTTATTATGTGCCATATTATATGATTCAGGTCATAGTCTTTCCTATCACTTGCTATGCATCTGAGAGCTGGACAATGAATAAGGATGAAAGAAAAAGAATTGATGCCTTTGAGCTGTGGTGTTGGAGAAGGGCACTGAACATCCCATGGATGGCCAAAAGAACAAACAACTATGACTTGGAGAGGGGGCAGACTGAGTGCTCTTTGGAGGCAAGGATAATGAGGCATGAAGCTTACTTTGGGCAGGCTGCTAGAAGGGGCTATTCCTTGGAGAGGAACATGATGTTGGGAAGGGGGAGAGGGTTGGCGAAGGAGAGGAAGACCTTCTGCCAGGTGGAATGACTGCCGCAATGGGTTTCTGTGTATAAGAAAGTGTGAGGATAGTACAGGATAGAACAGGGTTCAGAACAGGGTTTATAGGGTCAAAATGAGTCGTACTCAACTCGACAGCATCTAACAACAAACAATACATGTGCCAGGAAATAGGCAAAGCAGTTTAGAGGTAATAACTTGGATATTTCTTAAAAAAACTCTTAAGGGATTGGTGGTAATTTACTGTTTGGTAAAACAAGGTTAAGAAAAGTTGAACTATTTACCCAAGAGCACACAATTTAGAAATGTCCATTTAAATCTGATCCTAAGGCTACCTAATACTGAAATTCATAAACTTAATCACTGTACTCTAGTTCTCCCCTGAACACATTCATTATAAAAAGTGATATGGAAATTATATCAACCAAGTTAGAGAAATTCCTAGCACTCTGACAAATAGTTGTTCAGATTAGACCAGATGAAGAACAATTAATTCTTCACAGTGCTCTCAACCCAAAGAGGAAGCAAATTGTTTATATACTTCTGAGATCATGTCAAAAGTATGTATAAAGTGTTATGAGAAATGAGACACTGACTCATTTTCCTTGGTAAGGGTTTATTCAAGAATGTAACACTTCAGGTTAGTCTTAAAGGATGAAGAAAAGGAATAATTGCTAGCATTTTCAGTTTCTAAAATGCATTAGATGTCTGTTCTTTTATATACCATCATGCAGTCAAAACTGACTCATGCCGACCCTCCAGCAGGCTTTCAGAGACTGAGAATGGCATGGGAAGAGACTGCCCAACTTAGTCCCACAAAGCAGCTGGTGGATTAAAACTGCATGCCTTTGGGATTTCAGGGAAATTTTTCACCACTAGGCCACCAGAACTGGAGGATTCAAACTGCATGCCTTGGGGTTGACAGCACAACTCTGTCCAAATCTTTTAGATCCTACGATGATTTCTTTTTACAGATTAGATAATAAAGCTTGTACCAGTTAACTTTCCAAGGGGAAAGATTCTAGCATTTACTGAACACAATTTATTGAACTAATTACCCAGGACACATTTCGGTCTCACATCTATTTTAAGGATATTGTTAAAAACACTGTAGACAAGAAACCTTAAGTTCAACGATCGTAAATAACTTACACAAGACACAGAGGAATTCACAGGTCAAATGCACAATAACACAACTATGTGCTCACCCAGAGCTGTATGCTTCTTAACAGATGACGATGATGATGATGATGATAATGCCTCTCTTGAGCAATTTTTATGGATCAAACATTGTTCTAAGCACATTATTTTATTTATTCTTGACAGCATCCATGTTCTCATTTTACTTACTTTTTATATATTAAAAGACTCAATATATAAAAAAAAGACTCATTAAGACATAAAAAACATGAAGATCTTATGAGGTGAGGCCTTTAAAGTCATTATCATATCTGACTCCAAATCTGAAATACTTAACTATTATAATGCCTATGTGTGAAGAATGACGAATTTATAAAACAGTGAAAGCAGAGAGACACATTCTAGGTAGTAAGAAACACACAGTCAGGGATTATTCCAACTGTGAGAGTAAAAAAAACGCACACATAAATTTAACAGAACAGCAAGCAACAAATGCTGGCGAGGTTGCGGAGAGACTGGAACCCTTATTCACTGTTAGTGGAAGTGTAAAATGGTGTAACCACTGTGGAAAGCGGTGTGGTGCTTTCTCAAAAAGTGGCAAATAGAGATATCATTTGACCCAGCAATTCCACTACTGGGAATATATCCTAAAGAGCCCATAACCGACATGCAAGCAGATATATATGCACACCCATGTTTATCGTGGCTTTGTTCACAACAGCAAGGAGTTGGAAGCAACCTAAGTGCCCATCAACAAATGAATGGATAGAGAAACTGTGGTATAGTCACACAATGGAATACTACACTGCACTGAATAGCAAGGAACTCATGCAATATTATTCAAAATGGGTGACCCTCAAGGACATTATGCTAAGTGAAATATCTCAGTCACAAAAGGACAAACACTGCATAGTGCCACTGCTGTAGAATGGGACTGACATCAGGGTTGGGGTAAGAATCAGAAAAACTGGATAAATTATGTATAGTGCATTGAAATGGATAAGAGAGAGAACAGTTTAAAAGCAATATTTTATATGGTATTATGATTATTGTAAGAGTCCGGAATGAAGGTTGTAGAGTGGAGTATACTCGGGGTGGAGGTGGGGGGGTGCGGGGGGACTGTATACCAATGAAGGAATTTTTCTTTTACTTTTCAAAGAGAAGAGCGAACTGGGGTTGTGGGGGGTGGGCAGGGAGAATAGTGCAACAATGAATGAAAGGAAACCCAAAATCTCTGTAAATGTTTATAAAAATTAATAAAATATAATTATAGAAAAAAAACACATAATGTACATGAGTGAAGTACAATGATTGTATGCAAACCAATAAAATTTATTTCTTAAAAAAAAACCAAAAAAAACTGTTTTCCTCAATGTAAATCAAGCCATTAATAGGAGACCAAAAGCTCAAAAATTTACTCAAAAGTACACATGAGACGGTAACAGAGGAGGATAACTACAACACCGGAAACAAAATACCCTGAACACAAGAGAATGTTGATAGGCTGGGTAAACTAAGTGCTATCACTGAACAATCTGTGGGGAAACTGTCAAATGGGAACTCGGCTTGCTGTATAAACTTTCCATTCAATAAATATTTTTAAAAGAATACTATATCATGTTATTTTCCGGCTTGATATTTTACAATGACTTCCCACTGTAATTTGAGTACAATGCACATTTTTTATCACAACCTACAAAGCCCCACATGACATGAGCCCTATCTCTCCAAAATCAGCTTGAACCAGTCTACCCAAAAGTTACATTAGTCCAGCCATGCTGGCCGCTTTACAGTTCCTTGAATATAACAGGTTCCTTCCTGCCTTAGTGCCTATGCATGTTGTTCTTTCTGCCTGAAATGATCTGCTCCCCATTTATATGTTTGGCTTTTCTACTTTAAAGCCTTGTCTTAAAACTTTACTGTCTCAAAGGGACATTCCCAGAGCACCCTCTTAAAATGCATTCTTTTCTTCATAGCACTCAGCACAGTTTGACATTATACATCTGGTCCCTTGTAAGGTGTAAGAACACATTAGGCATACAATTAATATCTGTTAAATAAATAAAACCATGAATGTTGTTATTAAACTGAATTGTTAACCAGATAATGTAAAGCAGAGTAACAGAGACAGGAACATAGAATATCGCTATAAATATCTTTTATAGATCTGTGTAGTCTATCACTGTTCCTAATACTAAACAAAGTTATCTTTATGAGCTCAATTTAACATCTGTATATACATTTTTAAGGAAAATTGCTATTTGTAAATTATCAAGAGCTTACACTGTTAAAAATAGTACTTACTATGTTACCATTCCAAATCTAAATTTTATCATACATGTAATGGCAAAGCTTTAAGTATTGTAGACAGATGTACGGTTTATCTATCATTTCATTCGATCCAATTTATTTAAGATAAGTTGTAATTAAGTTTTCTCAAAATCTTTCAGGTCAATATACACTTTGAAAATATCAATCAAAAAGAGAATTTTGTGTCTGCTCTGTCAAAATCTCATGAGGAAAAAACACCAAAATCAGTGATACATCATGTTTGATTCAGATATAAAAAATATGAACAAACGTACCCCTAAATATGTTGCCCTTCCTCCAACTTCAGTTCAAAGTAAAATTCTGTTGTTACAAATATACAACAGAGAGAACAAAGGAATAAGTGAACAGTTTTCAAGAGCTGAGAAATTAGTGTTCTTTCTCTAGAACTTAATGTTCAAACTTAATGTTCAAATTTCTTAGTAATATAACTTCTGAGTTTTATTAGGAAATTCTAAATTCATTGTAGCATCCCAGAAGTCCAGTCTGGGATATTCACCTTCAGGATATTATTGATTTGAACCCTGAGTAAATGAGCCTAAATATAGCCAGCACATTCCAAGTGTCTAGAGGGAAGAGACCAGTTGTCAAGAAATGAAACTAGGATATTACCTGTCTGTGAGAGGTTGACAGGGTATTCTTTTACTCAAAGATGGAAGATCCAGGGAATCTGGTTTCTTATCCATTCTGCAACATGCTTGGATATTTAAGTACTTAAATATATGTACTTTGCCTTTTAAACATATCTGTAAATAAATGAAAAACAGACATGATATCATAATTCCATTTATAAACATCCTGTATCATCTAATGACATATTTTAGTTATTTGAAATTATGTTCAGGCATCACAATCTTAGAAGATTGCATATTTAAATAGTCTATGCTTCCAATACTGTTGCTGTTTTTGTTATGTGCTGTCAAGTCACCTGCAACTCATAGCGACCCTATGTACAACAGCCCTACTCTATCCTGTGCCAATCTCACTGTCTCTAACACATCTACCCTCATTACCCCAGTTCCAACACCAGGCTAAAAATAACTGACAATGCAGATGTTGTTATTGTCTCTGAGTCGAGCATGATTCATAGCTACCCTATGAACAAAAGGCCTGAAGTCTTACTATAACATTTATCAAAGTTCATAGAGTTTCCAGAAGCATATTGTTTAAGAAGTGGATGCCACTTATTCTGACATCTCCATTTTATTGGAAAATATAAATTAAATATATTTCCATATAGCACTAGTTTTCTTGATAAACACAAAATGGAAAAACCACTAAACAAGGTATCATTTGATAATTTAAGAATGTTGTCTATTAGAGAACATGGAAAATAAATTTATTAATTGTACTGTACAGAAAAAAATACTATAGTTACTTCTATAAAGTAATCTCATCAGAGACTTTATTTAGTATTAACACTGAAAGAAGGATAATCCCAAGATTATAAAAGTAGGAAAATTTATTTGAGAGTGTGAACATAGGCCAATTAGACTTACATAACAAAAGAAAATATTAAAACACCAAAGCAAAGCAAAGTAAAATACTACATAGCAGAAAATATTCTTCTGTATAGGAAAGGTAAAACACGATACATTGAAAGGGTAAGTCAGCTTTACAAATTTTTAAAAAGTCACAATGGGTGATACCAATTAAAAAACAGTAAGGTTGTCTTTTATAGTCTCACAATACAAACATATAACACATGTAAAAATAATGAAGAAATTCTAAAGAGTTCATTAATTATTACTATCAAAAAGAAAATAAGACAACACTAAAAACAATAATTGTTATAGGTAGAGAGAAAAAAGGCTGCTTCTTAGATAATTTTAAAAGATAGTAGGTCTGATCTAACCATTGAAAATTTTCAGTTAAAAGTAAAGCATTACTTTTTAAAAAAAAACAACAAAAAAATTAGAGCTACCTGAATGCAAATACATTAATTATTAATTAAACTGTTCTCAACAGAAGGTTCCTGGGATAGGATATCATGCTCAGAAAAGTGAAGGGTCACTGAAGGAGGGGAAGACCCTCAACAAGATGGACTGATACAGTGACTGGAACAATGGGCTAAAGTGTGGCAGAGATGATGAAGATGGCACAAGAAAGAGCAGGGTTCAAATGTGTCGCTTATAGGGTTACTATGAATTTCAGTCAACTTGATGGCACCTTACAACCACAACAAAAGAAATTGTACCCTATCCAAAATAAAAACTTATTACAATTGTCCAGTCCACAAGCAATCATTGTGAGATGGTGCAGGACCAGTTATCATTTCATTAACTTGTGCCTGGGGTTGCGATGTGTCCTACAATGGTAGCTAAGAACAATCATCATGAAGCTAAATGCTGTATTTTATCTTCTGTAGAGTTGTTGTTAAGTACCGCTGATTTATAGATGACTCATAGCGACCCTATGAACAAAAGATCTGAACACTGGTATAACTTTCATCGTTTCTCCATGTTCATAGAGTTTCTGGAGGAACACTATTTCTGAAGTAGATGCCACTCCTGCTTCCAAGCTTGTTTTAATCAGGGAGCTCCACCAAACACTGTCCACCATGAGTAACTATTATCGCATATGGCACATCAGTGTCACAGTGTTAGCATCACAGCAACCACAAGTTACCTCTGTACCTAGCAAATGGTTAGACCAGTGCTATACCACTTAGAACAATGTTTGACCAAAGACAATTTGAACGAGGCCTCAGGGCTGCAGATTAAAATCACCCACCTTTGGCTTGGTAGCATCCTTTCTGCCCACTAGGCCAACAGAGGTCTCTCTATGACTCACAGCAATTCTGTGAACAATAGATCTAACCCTTGACCTATCCTACACCATCCCTACTATCGGAGACATGCTAAAGCCCATTTTTATCATAATAATTCATGCACAGTACATGGTTTTAAAAATCAAATAATATGATTACACACTATTGAAAACCAAAACCAAAGGAACTCTATAGGACAAAGTAGAACTGAAGTACTAAATCTTTAAGGAAGCAGATTGCCTTCTCTTTCTCCCATGAAGCACATAGTGGTTTGGGACTGACAGATCTTTCAGTTAGAAGCCCAAAACTTAACAACCCACCAGGGCCAACCACATGAATATAAAACTAACAACAACAGCAAAACTAGATTTCTCTTTTCTCCTTTAAATACCCAAATTGCAATCTCTAATTGCAAAGCTTTCAAACGATTTTTCTGCTGTTTCCAATAGGAAAAGAGTGGACAGATAAGAAACATTGCATTAGAACAGATGAAGGAAAGAACTATTTAAAATGACTATAAGATTAGGCATTACATGTGTGAAAACAGTCCAAAATAAGAGGTATACTGCAAAGAGGACTGGGGAGGGGAGGGCAGAGAGGATGATGGAAATTGTAGAACAATAGATATTTTTTTTAAAGTGAATTGGGAATGGGGAATGGAGGGGGAGGGAGGAAATTGTGCAACAATGAATGAATGAAAATCCAACTTTTCTGTTAACTTTTGTTAAAATCACAATGAAAATTTTAAAAAATTGATTAAAGTAAATCCAACCGTTAGTTACTCTTTCTATTTCTACAATTGTGGTCTTCTACAGTATTTGCCCTTAGGGGCCTGAGTTAGTTCATTTAGCATAATAATACTCTCCAGTCCCTCACGAGTTAGGCGGTGATTTATAAACCCTTTGCTCCTGCATGTATATGTGCCATAATTGCTAAATCCACTGAGGATCTAATGGGGTGGGGAATGGTAGGAACAGAGGAGTGGATATGGGGAGCAGGGTAAATCACAGGGCCGCATGATTTGATGGCTGAGGGAAGGGTGGGTAAAGGAAATGGGAAGGATCTGGTATGAAAAACAATATATATGAACTCTGTAAGCAAACCAGTTGTTGTTGTTGTTGTTATGTGCCGTCGAGTCGTTTGCGACTCATAGCGACCCTATGCACAACAGCCCTAAACCCTGTAGAAAAGAAAAATTTTATTAAAAGAAAAAGATATCTAACAGTGTCCTGTCTGAAACATATATAAAATGGGCTTAAAATCTTATGGAAGCCAAGCAAGGAAAACCAGCTGGAAGATATCAACAGTCAGTATGCAAGCATTCATTGTTTCCCGTATGGAGTTTCATTTCTGTCCACAGCTGTAAATAGAACTCCTCATTTTAGATCCTCACTAGTCCAGTCTGTTTACAAATTTTCTGTCTAATATGATGGCCCCTTGCCACATCAGGCTTTTTAAATTTAAATTGTTGTTGTTGTTATGTGCCAGCAAGTCACCTGTGAGCCATATATGAGCCTATGTACATTGGCTCTGAAGTCTGCGCTGTCCTGAGCCAGTCTCACTAATTCCAACATAATGACCCCCATTGCCCTAGTCACTGTATCATCCATCTCATCCAGGGTCTTCCTCTCCTGCGCTGTACATCCACACTTCATATGTCTAAATAAAATTCAATGACAGATTCCAAGACAGATAGACAAGTCTGCCTTAGAGAAAGGGCAGTCAAAATGATCCTTAGAGGCAAGGATCGTGAAACTTCATCTCATGTAAGTTGGGCATATTGCCAGGAGAGGCCAGTCCTTGGAAAAAGATGTCATGCTAGAAAAGGTGAGAAAAAGAGAGGAAGATCTTCAACAAGACAGATGGCTTACACTGTCACACAGGGACTGTAACAATGGGATTGATCAGGCCAGTGAACAGTAAGATGGCACAAGGGAGGGCTGATTCACTGTTGAGAGAGTCTATGTGAGTCTTAATCAATGCATCAGCAACAAAAACAAATAAAATGAAAAATTAAATTATTTGTTACGTCACCCACTTTTAAGTGTATTCACTATTACGACAGTGCAGATACAGAATATTTCTACTGTTCTTATAAAGTCCTAGTGGACAGTGATGCTTTAAAGTAAATCTAGGATTATGCTGACACATGATGGAATAATCTCTTGATTATGGAGCTGAGAGAATCTGAAGTTCTATCTACTTTATAAAATGAACACAGGTCAAGGAATGGCAAGGTATTTAGTTATTTGGTAAATATAAAGCTCTAACTCTATAAATGCTCTTCAGAACCGCGATGTCGAATATAGCAATCACTAGCTATGTTTATTTAAATTTCAATTAATCACAATAAAATAAAACAAAATAGATTCACCAGCTATACTTGAAGCATTCAATTGCCACATATGACAAGTGGCTATGAAACTGGACAGCACAGATTACAGAACATTTACCTCATCAAAGGAAGTTCTACTGGAAAACACTTTGATATTTCACCACTTCCTTATTTTCAACTCCTTATCCTTATTTAAAAATTACCTAGTTCTTCCAATTAACAAACTATTTTCAGGTTGGTTTTTTTAAAAAAATTATTATTAATGTCAATGAAAATTTAGAGACTTTGGATTTCCATTCATTCATTGTTGCAATTTTCTCCCCTCCCAACCCTCCCCCCTAGTACACTACCCTTTTGGAAAAGCAAAAGAAAAATTTTTCATTGTTTTACAATCCCTCCCCACAGGTCCACGCCACTATGCAGCTTTTGCTCTGGACTCGTGTCATGACAAAAATACCTAATCACATATCCTTTTTAAACAGTTTTCTCCCTCATCTGTTTCAATTCAGTATACATTATTGAACCTATCTTTCTCAGTTTTCCTGCAACCCCGAGGTCAGTCCTGTTTTACAACAGTGGCACCCTGCAGTATTTGTTCTTTTGTGACTGAGATACTTCACTCAGAATGTGCTGCAGGGTCACCCATTTTTAATAATATTGCATGAGTTCCTCGGTTTTGGTATTCTATTGTGTGACTATACCACAGCTTCTCTATCCATTCATTTGTTGATGGGCACCTGGGTTGTTTCGAACTTGTTGCTATTGTGAGCAAAGCCACGATAAACAGGGGTGTGCATATATCTGCTTGGATGTCGGTTATGGTTTCTTTAGGGTATATTCCCAGTAGTGGAATTGCTGGGTCAAATGTATCTCTATTTGCAACTTTTTGAGAAAGCGCCATACTACCTTCCACAGTGGTTGCACCATTTTACACTCCCACCAGTAGTGAATAAGGGTTCCAGTTTCTCCACAACCTCGCCAGCATTTGTTGCTTGCTGTTCTGTTAAATTTTGCTATTCTGACTGGGATGAGATGACATCTCATAGTTTATGTTCAGGTCTTAAAAAGTAAATTGACATACTTCTCTCTGCTTTCTTACACAACAGATAAAAGTTCTGACATTCTTCATTTTGCTAAGGTAGTCAGCATCAATATTTGTGATAGTCTTTTATGTCAAGGTAACCTAGTAAGTAAGGAGTTGCACTACCAATCCAAAGGCTGGTGGTTCGAATCCACCAGTTATTCTGAGGTAGAATGATGTGCAATCCTCTCCTAAGAGATTTACAGATTGAAAATCCTAGATAGTATGCAATAAGTCAGTTCCAGCTTGAAGGCAGTGAGTTTTGAGTTTTGGCTTGGATGGGAATCACAGAACATTTGATTGTGCTTATGGGAAACCTATACTTGAACCAAGAGGAAATCATCAGCACAGAGCAAGGAGACACTGCCTGGCTCAAAATTGAGAAGAGTGTCTGCCAGGGATGTATTCTGTCTCCATACCTTTTCAATCTGTATGCAGAACAGATCATCTGGAATGCTGAGCTGTATGAGGAGGAATGTGGCATCAGAATTGGTGGAAGAATCATCAACAACCTGCATTAAGCAGATGATATAACCCTTCTTGCTGAAACGGAGGAGGACCTGAAGTGCCTGCTGCAGACTTTCTGCAGTCTTCAATATGGATTGAAGCGCAACATCAAGAAAACAAAGATTCTCTCCACTGAGTCAACTGGCAGCATCATTATGGATGATGAAGAGACTGAGATTGTCAACAGTTTTTGTTTGCTTGGCTCCACAATCAACACTCTTGGTACCAGCAGCCAGGAAATTAAGAGACGAATTGCACTGGGAAAGTCAGCTGTCAGGGACCTCGCAAGAGTACTAAAGAGCAATGATGTCAGGCTGGAGACTAAAATGTTCCTGATCCGCACCATAGTCTTCGCAACTGCGAGCTATGTGTCAGAGAGCTGGACACTGACTGGGGATGATAGAAAGAGTGTGGATGCCTTTGAGCTGTGATGCTGGAGAAGAGTGTTGAATATATCATGGTCTGGTAGGAGAACAAACAGGTTCATCCTGGAGAGGATGAAATCGGACTGCTCCTTGGAGTCAAGGATTCTGAGGCTTTGTCTGACATACTTTGGGCATGTTGCAAGGAGGGACCATTCCTTGGAGAGGAGCATCATATCCTGTAAGGTGGAGGGACAGCCCAAGAGAGGAAGACCCTCAATGAGATGATCGATTCAGTGATTAGGGTAATAGGAGGAGGTGTCAGAGACAGCGAGGTTGGCACAGGCTAGAGCAGGGTTTAGAATTCTTGTGCATAGGGCCGCACTATGAGTCGCAAGTGACTTGAGGGCACATAACAACAACAACATGCTTCCTAGTGGTTTGGCCAAACATTGAACGAGAAGCTAAGAAGAGAATTTTCTTAAGACTGGCTGTGTTTTGCCAGAACTCACTCTACCTCCACTCCAATCTCTGTCAACTCACATACAGATCTTGGGACATGAGCTTGAAAATGTCTCTAACCTGCTGCCTGACCTTAGAGATTTGTCATCCTCACAATGTTTTTAGCTAATCCCTTGAAGAAAATCTATGTCAATATCTCCTCTCTGTTTTACCAGACTGTGTCTTTTTCTCTGCGTATGCTTCTGTGTGTGCATGTGTATGTATGTGTATGGGTGTGGGTGTGTGAGTGTGACTGGTTGTTTTTCGAGAGGTCCCCAAGAAATTCCTAAAGTCAACCTTTGTGGGAAATAGAATAAGAATCTCTTTTGGAATAAGAAGATTATACATTGAACAGGGACCATGCTAATCTCATCTGTATCATTTCAATTTTAGTATATGTGTTGCCGAAGCGAGCACAGAGAAGATTATATTTTGGAAGGAAAAATAAGGTAACCTTTTCCTCTGGATATACACAACACCTGTGCTACACAGAAGTAGAATGTAGGTAGGAATTTCACTGCCATATGGTTTCCCAGTATGATCTGGTGGCCTCATGGCAAGAAGCTGCACAGCTATCCTGAAGGCATGCAGTTCAAGACCACCAGCTGCTCAGTGTGATTTACTCCTGTGCAATTAACTGCCTCTGAAAATCTGTTGACGGGTCAGTTATGGGTAAGTTTCCACTCAATGGTACAGAACAACAAAAATAACACTAACACTTATGTACAATATAAGCAGATAATTTATCACTATTCTGTTTATATTGTACTTTCCAAAATTCTTCTGACATCTCTACCATGTGGTCCTTTTTTCTGTCTTGCCTTTTCCCTTACTATCTTTCATATCAGTTTATTCTTTTACAATCACTTTGTGCTAACAAGCAAGGATATCCATTTAAAGACTATAGTGCATCTGATGCAAGCCATGGTATTTCCAATTGCTTTGTAAGAATCTGAATGTTGAACAATTGATGAAGATAACAGAAGCAGCAATGAAGTCCTTGAGTTATGGTGTTGGACAAGAGTACTGAATAACCCATGAACTGTCAAAAGAACAAAGCCTGTCTTGGAATAAGTACAAGCCAGGGGCACCTGAGATGTAAGGAGGCTGAAACTCCTATCACACACTTTGGCATGTTATCAGGGGAGGCCAACCCTTGGGAAAACACACGCTGGGAATGGTAGAGAGTCAGCAAGAGAGAACCCTTAGAAAGAAAGACTGACACAGTGACTGTAACAATAGCCTCAAGTATGTCAAAGATCAGGAATATAGCACAGGACAGGATACGGTTCAGAGCTGCTCCTCATAGGGCCGCTATGAATTGTAGCAAATGCCACAGCACTTAATAACAACAACACATTACTTTGGTGGATTTTACATAATTGACAACCAGAATTTGAGTTCACAAACAAAAAGGTAATATGAGTTCTTATTAATTCTTTCTTATTAATTGGTGCTCAGTTAACTTCAACATATGATGATCATTATGTGCCACGTAGAACTTTTCTATAGGGTGAGGAGTTACACTCTCAATCCAAAGGCACATAGCTTAAATTCACCAAGTGCTCAGCAGGAAGATGAGCGATCTCCTCCTGTGTGATTTACTGCCTCTGAAAACTCTCTGGAAGATCAGCTATGAGTTGGATTTCCAGGTGAAATATTTGAGAAGAAGATGAGGAAAGACTTCCAGGGCTGTATACTTTGACAACAGGTTATTTTGAGTTCAGAAACAAAAAGGTAATATGAGTGGTTTTTGAAATCCTATTCTAAAATTTATAGACTACCATGACCACAAAGAAAACAAACAGATCTGTCCTGGAGAGGGTGAAACCGAATTTCTCTTTGGAGGCTAGGATTTTTAAGCTCCCTCTCATATACTTGGGCACATGGCCAGGAGGCCTTCTCCCTGCAGAAGGACATCATGCTTAGAAGGGTGGAGGGTCAGTGCCAGAGAGGAAGACCGCAGATGATATGGATTGACACAGTAACTTGGGCAATTGGGATAGGTGTGTTGGAGTCAGTGAGACAGGCTCAGGACATGGCAGGCTTCAGTGCTATGAGTCGCTGAGCTGCAGGTGACTCGCCAGCACATAACAACAACAACAACAACAACAATAATTCTAATGTTTAAGCAAAACCTTCTACCAAAGTGAAAAATTCACCTCTAAGAAAACATTCCTTTTGTAATTATATCTGATTGTTATAATTTTAACAAATTAAATCCTACCCATGATGCTCTTTATCAGTAACAGAAATATATATTTATGAAATGAAATAAAAAGAAGCAAGTATCAGATTTTTATTACAAACCTGTGCCGGTGGTACCTGCAATGGATTATTATCCAAAATTATGACTTGTAAATGATGCAACTTCCTGTAACAAACTGGAATCTCGGTTACTTTGTTACAAGAGAAATCCAGCTTGACTAAGGGAAGATCTCCTAATTCTGTTTAAAAAGGAAAAATAATTGAATTAAATTTTATATAATCACACTTCTTTTAAATAACAGTAAAAATGGCAAACATCTTACCATCTGGCAGTGCACGAAGGTTATTTCTTCTTATATTTAGCTCTCTAAGTGAATGCAATTTTCCCATTTGTTGGGGAAGGACCTGAATCTCATTGCAGCTAATGTCCTAAGGAAAACAAGAAAATAAAATTATAGTAAATGGAGAAATCTGGATATATTCCAATCTTAAAATTGAAACACTTTATTAATGGCTAGTGGAAGTGACCTGTAATGACATTTCTCTGAAGATAAATTATCTGGCAGATTTCTATTTCTGTCACATGGTGAAGTAACAGCACAAAAACCCAAAAATTTTTATTCTGCAAAAGTTTGAGATTATAAATTTGTAACAATCAACTCTCATAAACTAAAACCTGGGGGGCAGATTCATGCACTTTCTTGCAGAGGTAAAACAAAAAGCTAACAATTATCAATCACTGTGTTCATCTGTGAATTACAAGTTGTTTTGAGATACCTGATTGCAAGGAAAATGGAAAAATTCAGGGTTTTACAGGTGTGAGTTGGGAAACCTAAATCTTTCAAGATGTTCTCGTTAGATATCACAGAGTTGAGTGGATTACAACTCATAGTGAACCTATGCACAACAGATCTGAACCTTGCTTCCATACTCTATCTTGTGCCATCCTCATGATTTCTAATATGTCAAGCCCATTGTTACAGTTATATGTCAATCCATCCTGTTGGGGAGTCGTCTTGTCATTCTCTGACCTTCTACATCTCTCATCTAAGATTTAACAAAAAATCCTTCTCCAAACCAACACAATCTATGAGGGGTTAAAGCTCAAAGATTTGATTTGTGGCTTACATCATAACACATTCTAAGACATTAGAATAGGTAATTCCCCTGGGTTAAGTTAAAAAGCAAAGTCCTCTGGTAAAGGTAAACAATACCAAACTTACATAGTAAGGGAATAAAGAATGGCTTTGACTATGCTTTCGAACCCCTCCTCCTTTTTGACTATGCTTTCGAACCCCTCCTCCTTTCCTGTAAGCATATCAACTAAAAAGCAAAAATCTGCAGCATGATCTCAAGAGGCAAGCATTTCAGACATAGGGCAAATGAAATTTATATTCTTCTGCAATTGCCCGAAATTTCCAAATTTCCCTGAAACTGATATTACCATAGACAGTCAAAGGAGTAGAGCATACATTCCCTCATTTAAAAAGAAAAGAAAGGTGCCAACTACCACTACAGAACATTCTTACCAGAGTCTCAACAGATGGGCGCTGATGGGGATAAAAATATAAAATAGGACTTTAAAAGTCTCAAAAATCCCAGACCTATTACACTCACTGAGATTGAGAGAATACCAGAGATTATGATCTTGAATCAGAAGTTACCTTTTATTTAAAAAGAAAAGCAGTGTAACTAAAAAAGGTGTGTTATTTAAAAAATCATATAAATGAAAGCAAATGGTCAACAGTTATTCTACAGTATGAATGAGAAGTTGGGGGGCAGATGACAGTGAGACTAGAATAATGGGAATGGACCAACTAGAACAAAAATGAGAATGCTGACAGACTAAATGTGAATAAGGTATAGCCTAGAGTAGCTAGTGGCCTCGAACTGTGTGACTTCGGGACTGCAGCAAAGCTTCCTGCCATTAGGCTACCAGAACTCCTTAAGCAAAAGGAGGTTAGTGGTTGAAATCTGTGGGGGGAAGATGGGCAGTTGTTTTGTTTTGGTTTGGTTTGTTTCCATTACAATTTAGAGCCCAGGAAACCTGATAGAGAGTCCCTGCTCAACGGCAGTATGATTTAGTTTAGGTTTTGCTAGAAAAGGATACTAGTCAAACCACTAAATATTCAAGTGAATTTCAAAAAAAAGTCGTATGGCTGCAGGTTAAGTGGAAGCCAGAATTACTATTTGCCAGGCCAAAAATAACCAGTGGCTGTCAGTAAAGTAGAACAGGGCAAGATTCTTAGTAAGTCTGTATTCATCAGTATGGACTCCATGTCAACATTAAGAAAACAACAATCTTTACAACTGGACCAATAAATGACATTATGATTGAAGTAATCAAGGATTTCATTTTATTGGGATTCACAATCCACATATATGGAGTTTCACGACTAACGCAAAGGTGGGTCCTTGCAATTAACAACATCTAAAAATTCACTAAGGGTCAGCTATGAGTCATTTCTCTCTTGATAGCAATGAGTGTTAGAGATGTACAAATCTACTGTAAATGACCTCCTTAAAGTGCTACTGAACAATGGTGCCTTTTTTTAAAACTAAGGTACACTTGATCAAGGTCATGGCTTTTTAAAAAAAATTATATGCACGTGAAATGCGGACAGTGGACATTGAAGAATATATATGAATTGATGCCTTTGAATTGTAGTGCTGGCAAAGAATATTGACAATACCAAGGAGTGCCTTAAAGAAAAACATAATCTGTTTATGATTAAATGTAGCCAGATTAGTCCTTCAAATCAAAGATGGTGAGATTTTTTTTGCTTCACATCTTTGGACATGTAATTAGGAAGGCTCAGTCTCTGGAGAAGGATATGATGCTTCAAAAAGTAGAGGGTCAATGTAAGAGATTGTGTAGCTAACTAAGAAAGCTGAAGTTAACAATCTCAATCTCTTCACCATCTATCATGAAGCTGTCAATTGGCCCAGTGGTGAGAATCTTTATTATCTTTATATTGAGTTTTAACTCATATTGAACCCTGCCCTATCCTGTGCCATTCTCATCATCTGACAAACTAGAGCCCATTGCTGAAGTCACCACATCAGTACATCTCGCTGGGGCTTCTTCTCTCCTTTGCTGACCCTTCATCTTTCCAAGTATGGTGTCTCTTTCCAAGGATAGCCTCACCTAGCTAAATGTCCAAAATAAAAAGATGAAGCATCATTATCTTTGCCTCTAAAGAACACTGGCTGCATCCTCCCCAAGACATAACTGTTTGTTCTTTTGGCAATCACTGGATATTCAGTACTCTTTTCTAACACATCTCAAAGGCAGCAACTCTTCTTCTGTCATCCTTATTCACTCTCCATCTCTCTGATGCACAGCAGGTGATTGAGAAGACCATGCACGACCTGAATCAAGTGCACCTTAGTCTTTACACTGACATCACTGATCTTCAGCATTTTGGAGCGGTCCCTGACAGTGGACTTGTACAGTGAAATCAGTCCCTAATTAATGAGACACCACCTCAGCACAATTTGAATTACAACAATGGGGGAGGGAAATAACAGAAGTTCCTGAGACTGTGAAGAAACTGGAACCCTCATTCATTGGTGGTGGGAACATAAAACAATACAATCATTGTCGAAAACAATTTGGTGTTCCTGAAAAAGCTTAACACAAAATTATCATATGACACACATATCTCAACCCTAAGTATTAGCTCAATTACAAACTTAAGGCAAGACTGCAAACATAAACCTGTATAATAATGTTTATTTACATATTTTTCACAAGAGCCAAAAGGTAGAAACAGCCCAGATATCCGTCAACAGATGAATGGATAAACAAAATGTGGATAAACACAATGCAATACTACTCAGCCTTAAACAGAAATGAAATCCTGATGTGTTTCACAACGTAAAAGAAACCAGTTGCAAATCACAGGTATTAGATGATCTCGGTTAATGTGAATCAAGCAAATATATAAGAATCAAGATTAGAGCTTATCAGAGGTAGAAGTGAAGGGCAAAGGGGTAGTTTTTGCAATGAGTTAATATTGATAGTGGTGGAAGGATTTAGACAAGGATAGTTGTACAACTTGAAGAATGTAGTCTATGTTACTGATTTGGACACAAGCAAATTGTTGAGTGGTTGCACATTTTGTTATGTATATTTTAATGGAAATTTTAAAATTTTCAAATATATTTATAAGAATATAATATAATTTGTAAAAAAATTTTATAAGTATTTAAGATAAATCAGAAAAGCAGCATTATGGAATATTGTGTAAGATGTAAGTAATTCAAAGATGTAAAAATAGCTTAGTACTTTGAGAATCTAATTAAGTCTTTCTGAGAGTTCAGTGTTATTTAATACCTCTAATGCTATGCTCAAGATAATGACTTTAAATTATTCCTGTATTTCTATAACAATATAGCAATCAGTTGCTTCTTTCCAATTTTTTTTTAATTTCAACATGTTATAAAATTACATGAGGGTTTGGGACAGTAAAGGTAATTTTGTTCATTCTTTTTCCAAGCTTATATTCTTTGTATTCCTTTAAGTGTGGTTCTTAACAATAGCCCTTAATAATGTAAATGTATTTAAAACCTTACTTTGTTCTTAAAATTGTTACTGTCTACAAAATGGATAAGCAAATGTTTATTGATTTGAAAAGCTTTTGTTATAGCTTGTAAAACAAGCCGTCTGACCTCACTATGACTGAAGAACCATCAGGTGTTGTGAATCAGAGATACAATCAGACATAATGGTATCTCAGAAGTTTACTAAAATAATCTTAGATATATACTGTTGTAGTTAATGTACCATCAGGTTGGAATAACTCATAGCTGACCCTCCAGTGGGTTTTTAGAGTCAACAAATTACACGGAAGGAAAATGCCCATCTTTCTCCCAAGGAGCAGCTGGGAGATTCAAACCATCTACCTTTGAGATGGCAGCACATATCCTTACCACTAGGCCACTGACAATGAATAAGGGTGACAGAAAAATAATTGAAGCCTTTGAGATGTGTTAGAAAAGAGCACTGAACATCCCATGGACGTCCAAGAGAACAAACAGTTATGTCTTGGGGAGGATGCAGCCAGAGTGCTCTTTGGAGGCAAGAATGATGAGGCTTCACCTCACATGCTTTGGACATGTTGCTAGGAGGTGCTGTTCCTTGGAGTTGGACACGATACTGGGAAGGGTGGAGGGTCAGTGAAGGACAGGAAGACCTTAAACTAGGTGGATTGTCATGGTGACTTTGGCAATGGCCTCTTATGTGTCACGAAGTGTGAGGATGGTGCAGGACAGAACAGGGTTCAGATCTTTTGTTGATAAGGTCACTACGAGTTGTACTAAACTCGATGGCAACTAAAAACATGAAGCCACCAAGATATTCTTATAGACATATAGTTAGTTATTCCTTTTTTTAAAAACGACAATGAAATTCCCTAAGTATTCTCCCTTGTGTAAGGAAATATAAAACACAAAGATATCTAATATACAACTTAATACAATTATTTTACTCACCAATTCCATTAAATCCTTTAACTTCCCAATTTCTTCTGGAATGGATACCAGTTTATTATTGCTGATAACCAAAACTTTAAGAGGAAGATCGAATAGGTATTTTGGCAGTGTTGACAAAAGATTTCGACTGAAAAGAATAAAAAAATCTCATTATAATAAACATGTCTTAAAAAAACACACAGGCATGTCTGAAACCTCCCCTTATATTGAAACCCAACAAATCACTGGAATGTAAACAGTAATTGTCACTACATAACTATCATTTAATGAGTGCATACTTTGTTTCAGATATGACATATTCCTCACATGCACTCTCTCAATTAATCCTCATATTAATCACAAAAGATGGTATTAGCTCAATTACAAACTTAAGGGGGGGAAAAGGTTAAAACTGAGGAAGTGATCTGCCCACGTGCAGCAAGAGGTTCAAATAGAAGTCTGATTACAAAGCTTGTGCTATTATATGACACCCCACCAGTCTTCAAAAACCCAGAATTATTCTACTGGATTAGAATACATCAGAACTTTTCTGTCAGACATAATTTCATTATATTTGGTACTTCCATGAGTTTTTTTTTTGAGAAAAAAATCTCCAAGGTTAAATTTGCACTGTGTCAACATTTACAAAATTAATAAACTATGTATGTTCAGAAACATGAAGTGACTGTGGCCATTGCTATTTTGCATAATTTATGGCAGAAAAGCTTACCAGCACCTTTTTCTCAGCTTTGAGTGGACGCAATATTCCTATCTCAGTGTTGGCATTTAAAAATAATTGTTTTTGCTGTTGTTGTTGATTGCCTTCGAGTCAAGCACGACTCATAGCAACCCTATAAAAGGCCTGAAGCCTTTCTATAACTATTGTCATTTATTAAAGTTCATAGAGTTTCCGGAGGCATGTTGTTTAGGAAGTGGATACCACTCCTGGTTCCAGATGATAGCAGCTAACATTTACTGACATTACTATTTATTGTACACCAGGGCTACTCACATGAATTTACGCGTTGCTGCACACTTTTTAAATTGACAACCATGCTTAGAAACACATTTGCCGTCATTTGCGGCAATGTGTTAACTAACCCTCAACGAGGGCTAAGGATGGTTCAGTAGTAGAATGCTTGCCTTCCATGTGGGAAATTCTTGGAAAATACACCTTATGTGCAGACACTGCCACCTATCCACTAGCATACACTTGCATGTAGTTTTAATGCTTAACAGAGGTGTCAGCAGAACATTCAGACTACAACTGGGAAGAAAGGAGTGGCAATCTACTTCCAAAAATTACTGAATGACAACCAGAAGGATAAAAACTGTCTCGTCCACAACCAATCAAAGGGATGTTATTGGTCCAGGCAGCATTTTGATCTATTACACATGAAGTTATCATGACTTGGGAGCTAATTTGAGGGCAATTAACAACAACCCTCATTACGATTACATACTAGTCGTCATTGACTCCAACCTTACTCATGGAAACTCGATGTTTATCAGGAGAATTGTGTCCATAAGGTAACAGCACTTCTGGTTGATCACACACACCTTTGGGTTAGCAGTCAACCAATGTAACCTTTGGCACTGCCCAGAGAATTTAGTGTGGAAATAAATACTATTTTGATCTCTGTTTTACGGATAAAGAAACAATCACATTGCATGACACAAGATGTGAATGACAGTGTGAAATACAGCATATATGAAATTTGTAAACAAATCAATATAAAAATTTTAAAAATTACTCTATCAAAAACCAAAACAAAACAAAAACCCCACACAATCACAAAGGTATTAAGTGACTTGTGCATAGTTACAAAGATCTTAAGTGGTAGAGCCAAGGAAATTGGCCCTGGAGCCCTTGACCTCAACTATAGTGGTCAAATGTATATGCCAATGCATGGACTGACACAAATGATTGCACTACCAAAGTCACATAGTATTTTCATATTAACAAGTGCTGTTAACAATTAGTTATTATATTTTCTAATATTTTTTATTTTATTATTTTTTGTGTGTGTACTGCCAAATCAGATCTGACTAGTACAGGAGGAGACTGCCTCTCCTTGTCCAGCAAAGCATCTGGTGGATTTGAACCATGAAGACCCTCAATGAGATGGGTTGACTCTGTGATTGGGGTGGTGGGAATGAGTGTGTCAGAGATGATTAGGTTGTCGCAGGATAGAATGGCGTTTAGGGCTCTTGTACATAGGGTCACTATGAGTCACAGGCGACTCAATGGCACATAACAACAACAACTAACCTCTGGGATTGCAGTGCAGCTTCTTGCCACTAGGCCACCAGAGCTCCCTATATATTTTCTAATCCTCAAAGTGGCTTTTGTAGATCTGTGTTTAACATTATGTGCAACATACACAGTGCTTCTCGATGAAAGGAAAGGCTTTAACACCCTTTATTTAATTCTAACCCTACATAGAACATACCAAAACACTAGGATGGTTTTACACAACACAAACTGATTTTCTTCTTGAAAAAATTAAAATACCCTGAGACAAGCAATACTGGCTAGGATGTCAAATATGCCAGAGGTCTGTCCAAATGTCTTGATATGAACTGTGAAGTCAGTTCCTTAGGAAAATGTTCCCAACAGAGCACACGAGGATCTTCTTGAGCGTTCATTCTACTGGAGTTTACAGAAAGAAGGAAACCACTGGAAAGCTGGGTTACCTAACAACAATAACAGCAACAACACAGAGAGAGCTCTGTTGGCCGAGTGGACAGAAAGTTATGCTACCAAGCCCAAGGTGGGTTATTTTAATCTGCGGCCCTCAGGCCTAGTTTTAATTGTTTTTTGTCATTCTTCTACATGGCACAGCACTGGTCTGTGCATTGCTGTACAGAGGTAACTCGTGGTTGCTGTGATGCTAAACACTGTGACACTGATGTGCCAAATGCGATATTGGTGACCCATGGTGGACAGTGTTTGTTTAGTAGAGCTCCCCAATTAAAACAAGCTTGGAAGCAGGAGTGGCATCCACTTCCAAAATAACTTGCCTCTGGAAACCCTATGAACTTGGAGAAATGATGAAGTTATACCAGTGTTCAGGTCTTTCATTCTTAGTGTTGCTATGAGTCGTCTACGACTCAATGGCACTTAACAACAACAACAACTACAAATATTAGAATAATATTTAAATTACGACTCAAAATAACTAAAGGTAATAGTCGAGCTAGTTAGTAGTTATTAAGTATGTACTGAGACACTATGATTTGAGGAACATATTTATAATGCAGAGCTTTGCTGGACCTATTGCATAAAAAAAAAATCTACATTTTAACTAGAACCACTATATCCTTGGTATTTCCAGTCCAAATCAAAGTTTCAGAAACACTATTTTTTACATGACCAGTGCTCTAACCCCTGGAGCGTAAAATCACTATTTTTAATAACAAGACCAAAACCCCAAAATACAATATAAACACATAAAAACTACAAAGAAGATACTACTGAGATAAGTATACATCACTCAGGAAACCAACACATTCCTTGTTGTTGTTGTGTGTCACTGAATTGACTTTGACTCAAAGTGACCCTATGCACAAAAGCTCTGAATCTTACTTAGCTAGCAAAAATTAAACTGTATAAAACTTTAATTTAAAAAAACCCAAAACTTACCAACGAAAATTGTTTCCTTACCTAATGTTAAGATATGTTAGCATCTGCAGATTTTTAATGGCTTCAGGAATGGTTTTGATGCAATTATGATATAAATTTAGTATTTCAAGTGGGGCAAATAACCAGACATCAGAAGGAATTTCTGTAAAACGATTTCTTGAAAGATCTGAAAAATAAAAATAATATTTGTCAAGCATACACCTCTTTCTACATTAATTAACAGAATTATGTTCATACTTGAAGCTGAATTGGAGCAACTTAGTAAAATATTATAAAAAACTATTCACCTTGGTGCAACAATGAATGAATGGAATTCCAAAATCTCTGTAGATGTTCATTGAAATTAAAAAAGAAAAAATAAATTTAAAAAAAATCAAAACCTATTCACCTTGATTTTGAAGGCAAACAAATATAATTTAGAAGTCATTTCATGCAAAAGCATGTTTATTAACAATTTTTACTTGATGTGATGCAGCATCAGAAAAAATCAAATACATTCTTTTTTAAAACATTGATGAGAATGCCTCTCTGATCTTTAAACTCATTTAACCAGAAACTCACAAAGTGAGAGAAGAAAAAAGAAAAAACACCACCTCTACTAATACATCTTTCTCAATCCACCTTTCTCCCCATCAAAGTCAAATGTATACAACAAATTATCCACAGCACAGCTAAATTTTTTGATTGCCATGGGCTCCTCAACCTTTTAAAAAATATTTTCTATCTCTTTTTAAGGTCATCAAGAGCCCCTATATGTTAATAAAAGAATAAATAAAGCATTCTTTTTATCTGGAAATGTTTTCTTACATTATTTTGGAAGATTACATGTCTAGATTCTATTTATTACCTAACACGTATATATCACTTCTTATATTTTCCTAGATTCCAGTCAACCTGTGTCTCACATATTTGTGTGCTTATATCCGTATGATATAAGATAACTCTTGTTAAGATATGTATGTCTGTACTCAGGCCTACATTGTATCTATATAATGACAAAAATAACTCTAACCCTAATCCTGACAAATCTGAAATCCAGGGCATATCTAAACACTTACTTCTGGTTTTCAGAACTGCCCCTTAATACCTTTCAAGTGTGGTCAACTAAACATATGCACACCCATTTCCTCAACAGAACTGTCTATTAATGGGAAAGATCCAGTGTGGAAAACAATGTATATGAACTTTGTAAGTAAATCAGTATAAAATACAAATGTTATTTAATTTTAAAAATGGTCAACTGAATATATGCACACTCATTTCCTCAATAGTGCTGTTTATTAAGGACACGAACACCAAATCCTTCTGTTAAATTGCTCAAGTCACAAAAGTGTTGCTGATCTTGGTTTCTTTCCAAATACATGAAAATACAATACAAATAAGTATAAAATATAAGTAAAATCAAAAGGGAATAAAAACACGACCTTCACTCTATCACACCTGAATTTCAAAATCATCTCCAGATTAGGTTTAAGGCACTGATCACTAATAAGAGAACACCAGATGCCCTAGCAGCAATAAGCTTTGTTGCAATCCCAAAGGCACGTGGTTCAAATCCACTAGCTGCTCTGCGTGAAAAGGATGGGCAATCTCCTCCTATGTAATTAACTGCCTCTGAAAACTCACCACAGGGTCAACTATAGGTCGGTTCTGACTCGATGGTACACAACAACAATAACTATGTGAGTTATGGGATAACATAAAATCATTAATTATCAAGAGAGCAAAAAGACAAAGACAGAAGAGAAAGAAAGCACAGAAATGGATGTTAGAAGAGATAATGAATACTGCTGAAGTGCAATGTGAAGCCAAAACAAAGGGAAGAGATGCTGAAGTAAAAGAGATGAACAGAAGATTTCAAAGGGTAGTTCAAGAATATAAAGCAAAATATTATAATGGAATGTGCAACGTGCTGGAGTTGGAGAATAAAAAGGGAAGAATTTGCTCAGCAATTAAGAAGTTAAAAAATTAAATTCAAGTGACACACCACAATACTGAATGATACTATGGGCAAAATCTTGATTGATTTAAAAAAAAAAATCAAAAGCATAATGAAAGTCACTGTACCAAAGAGAACTGGTTGATACTGAAAAATTTCAAGAAATATTGGTAAGAACCAATGGTAATGAAGGAAGAAGTTCAAGGTGCAGTAAAAACACTGGCCAAAAAAAATTAGGGCCCGGCCCCCCGGATCGATTAATACCAATTGAAATGTTTCAACTAAAAGATGAAACTTTGGAGGCTCACCAGTCTATGCCTAAAAATTCGGAAGACAGCTGCCTGGCCAATTAACTTGAAGAGATTTGTTCCCATTCCCAAGAAAAGTTATCTAACAGAATGTGGGTATTATCTAACAATATCATTAATATCACATGCAAGCAAAATATTGCTAAAGATCTTCCAAAAGCAGCCAGAATACTACATTAAAAGAGAACTACCAGTTCAAGCTGGATTAGAAAAGTCCATGATACCTGGGAAATCATTGCTTGTGTCAAATGAATCCTAACTGAAAGCAGAGAAAACAAGAAGAATGTCTATTTGTGTTTTATTGACTATGCAAAGGTATTTGATTGTGTAGATCATAACAAACTATGCCTAACATTAAGAATGGGAATCCCAGAACACTTAATTATGCTCATATAAAACCTATCATCTAAACCAAGAAGCTGATATCCGAACAGAGCAAGAGAACACTGCATGGTTAAAATCAGGAAATGTATACATCAGGGTTGTATCCTTTCTCCATACCTATTCAATCTGTATGCTGAACAAATAACTTGGGAAGCTAGCCTCTATGAAGAAGAATGTGAAATCAGGAGCAGAAGAATTTTCAACAACCTGTGTTATGCAGATGACACAATTTTGCTTGCTAAAAGTGAAGAGGACTTGAAATGCTTGCCACAGAAGACTACAGCCTTCAAAATGGATTGTATCTAAACATCAAGAAAACAGAAATCTCACCATTGGACAGACAAGCAACATCATGACAGATGGAGAAATGCCCGAAGTTGTCAACTATTTCATCTTGGATCCATAATCAATACCATTTGAACCAACAGTTAGGAGGTTAAAAGATACACTGCACTGGGTAAATCCACTGTTAGGGAGCTCTCTGAAGTCTTGAGGAGCAATGACGTTTGTTTGAAGACTAAGGTCCACTCAGTTCATGTCATGATCTTTTTAATCACTTGCTGCACATTTGAAAGCTGAAAAAGGGTGACAAAAGAATTCATGCCTTTGAATTCCGGTATTGGAAAAGAGTACTAAAGATCCCTAGGATCTTTATGTCAAATATGTCTTGAAAAAAGCATAGCCAGAATGTTCCTTAGAGGCAATGATGGCAATGCTTTGTCTCACACACTTTGAGCATGTTGCTAGGAGAGGCTATTGCTTGAAGAGGGTCATCATGCTTGGAAAGGTGGAGTGTCCGTGAAGGAAGGGAAGATCCTAAATAAGATGTATTGGCATAGGCTGCAGCAATGTGTCAGATGATGAGGATGACACAGCATAGGACCAGGTTTAGATCTGTTATTTACAGGGTCACTATGATTTGTACTTGACTCAAAGGCACTTAATAAAAGCAAAAACAACCAACAAAAAAAAATTTTCCCCAGTGGGATGGTGCTTTTATTTATTTACTTCTTTTTATCTTTTTCTTATGATTTGAGTGCAAGTTTACAGAGTAAACTGGTTTTTTATTCAACAATTTACAGACATTCTGTCTAGTGCCATTGATTGTAATCTCCACATCTTAAGAGGTATCCTCCCACTTTCCTCTGTGTTGTCCATTTCCATTCATCTTTCTTCTTTATCACTTACTACCTTCTGAGTTTCATCCCTGGGAAAAAAATCTTGTCTTTCTGATCTTGTATGTTCTAAGTAGATGCTAAGGAGAGAATATTCTAAGGTCAAAAAGAGTGAGGTATAAGGAGCTTATTTCCCCTTTGCCATTAACAATCAATCGATAAGCCTGTCTAGTGCTTGCCTGAAAGCTGAGTCATAGTTGTGATTTTAGTTCTAGGCTTGAAAAATTATTAAGGGTCTGTGATGTGAAGAGTTTAGTGTTCAAAATGGCTTTCTTAAAAAGAAAAAAAAGGAAATGAAGAGACTGGCTTTTTATAGGAAAAAAAGGAAATGAAGAGACTGGCCTTTTATAACTGGAACAAGCTGTTTAGCTTCTGAACTGGGGTACATCGGCACCCAGCATTCCTAACCTCCAAGACTTGAGGTTGGAGTATCCCCACTCATGTCGATAACTTGAATCCACAGGAGTGGAAGTGGGATGAATACAACAACAGAGAAACAGGCTGAGCTTGGATATTCAGCACTGCCCGTCTTACATACACAGAGGTGTGGAGGAACAGAGAAGGATTGTTGGCTTAAGGAGTCAAGGGAGTTGTGAGATCTCTGGCTTGTTGACTTGACTTGGACCCATGTGGGCTGAGTGAAGAGATCAAGAGGTCTAGAATGCATGGCAAAGTGTGGACTCTTGAGCATGCAGCTTGATGCTGGAGATGAGTTGATTGGATGATGTTTATGGATACAGATACTCAACTTTTTGTAAGTTAAACAGAGGATCCTTCACCAAAACCAATGTGCATTTCCTCAGAGTACTGGTTCAATAGAGATGTGCCAATCAGCACTTGGTTATATAAAAAGGGGGATATTAGGACATAAGGCATAAACTAGTTGGCTTACATATTTTCATCAAAGTAGCTGTTGGTGGGATGATTGTAAGGAAGGAAAGAAAACAAACTCACAAGAATAAAAGAAAAATGGCTTTCCTAACTAAGGAATTTGACTTTGCCATGTGGCTGGGCAGAAATATACAAATGGGGCAGGTTAGCTTATCCACAAGGAGATTGGCTAGTCTTGCCATTTTATAAGTGGATCCAGCAGCAGAAATGGAAGATCTTCCCCAACAACAAAGAAGAAACAAGGTGCGCCTGATACAAGCCATGGTCTTTGCAATCACTTGCTATGTGTCAAATAACAATGACTAGGGAGGATAGAAGAAGAATTGATGCCTTTGAGCTGAGGTGTTGTAGAAGAGTACTGAATATATCATGGACTGCTAATAAAACAAACAGGTTCATCTTGGAGAGGGTTAAACCAGGTTGCTCCTTGGAGGCAAAGATTCTGAAGCTTCATTTGACATACTTTGGA